CTTGAAGATGTTTTCATTTACAAAGGCGTAGCATGCTTAGTATGCTTTATGGTAGGCTTTCAAAGTAAAAGTTTTGATACAATCAAAGATGGCATACTGGCCAAAGAAAGAAAGAAGGTTGAATGACTAGAGACTAGTCGGGTGACTTACCTTGAATTTTTGTGTAATGTTGCCGGCTATGTCGTTTAAAGGCCACTCATTGTGAATCTTCTGAACGAGACAATTTGTAGTACAGGTCACATACTCCAGTAAGCCTACTTCGGCTAATCCGATACTAAGATGAATGCCCACGCACTGGGAGTGGTGAGATGGCGGGAGTAGCGTGTACCCTCATGGCTTGAATGTGGCCGGATTTGAGGTGTGCTGTGCTCTCGGGTGGCGTGGAGACGGTTTAGTATGGGAGGATCCGGTAGCGAGGTTGATATATGCAAGATTAAGTTCTACATATGTCGTGTGATAAGGAATCCCCAGCTGGGACTTGAATCAATTCGAATTGCCGGTGCTCCGCGGATATGGACACTCGATTCATTATAGAAGCAATGTAGGACTGGTGAATTACTAAAACATGAGAAAAAGAATGGAATGAGAAGGATTGGAACATGGGATATGAACACTTAGTTGGAGATATTGAACTAAAATACTTAGTGGTAAACTTGAAACTAGGATCAAGAATAGGAAGTTTTTGGCAAAGAATTTTTGAATCTTTCTACATCCTTACCTTGACCCAACACCTGCATCCCTAAGACCTTCGCCCTTTTTCGTCGGGTCAGTCTTGTTGAGTACTTTTTGTACTCAGGGTTTGTTAACCCTTGTTGCAGGTGAGTCGCATGCGTAGGCTTGTTTTGGTCCCTGCTGCATGTCAGTGTATGAAGTCGATGACGATGAGGAATGATGAATGGCCTTTGGACAAGGTACTAGTTTGTGTGAAATAAATAATGTTAATGTAATATTATCTCGCTACTATGGTTGTATGACACTTATGGTTATGTAAGTTTGAAACAACTGGTTTGTAATATTAAACTTAAGTCTTCCGCTTTATTACCTCTGGTGTGTATATTGAAAAATGTTGTAATCTACAATGACTGTGATTGAGATCCTGTTTGAAACGTGGATGATTCGTGTTTCCCGAGGACACCCGACAGACCTGTTAAGTTGTTGGGAACTTGTGTATGCTATCTGAGGTCTGTTGAGACATCGATAGGTGCACGTGGGCCTGATTTCTTAGGAGGTTCTGCCACACATGGGCTCCGGGAGTCCTCAGAGCAAGACCACCATGGCAGCGATGTTCTGGTTTGCTTGAGCGAAGTGTGGGAGGGCTCCATCGTCTTCGATGATCCTCCGGTTCACATCACGGGCCATGACGCGCGCACACCTACCGTCTCTGCAACGTTTGATTTCTTGCTCGAGCTCTGTGTGCTCCTGCTCTAGCTAGAGTCACGCATCCTCGATTTCCCAATGCCGCGTCATCAGCTGCTCCACCTATAGGCGAGGCAGGGCCCCTGCATCTCCCTCGACCTCATCATCAAGGTCGTTTGGCGGGGTAGCCCCTCCCTCATGGATGCTTTCAACGTGTCCCTTGGGGGTACCTGCCATAAAACATTCTCACGAGGGGTGATGGTGCCGCCTGCTAGAGTTAGAGTAAGAGGGTGACTCTGAATCTCCAGTGAGAAGGTCATGGAAAGATTTCTTGATGTATTCGGTCATCCCCATGAACTCGTCATTCGTAGTGATCGGTGCACGCACCGCGCCACGAGGTGGTCAACGGTCCTTGCGGCGTTACGCAGATCGAACGAGAATGTTGTCGGGGTGCCACAGATGTGGTATTCCAAGAAGAGTGGTTCTTCCCCAGCAAGCTGCGTCATGACGCTGGTGAACGAGAAGGTGAGGCAACACAGGTCCTTCTGGGACGATTGGGGTCCCAGGAAGGCGTCGAGCTGGTGCTCTAGCCTCCCATAATCGAAGCCGAGGAGCCGAACGCTCTCAGGGACATGGGCCTCCAGCGCATGCAACTACAGCTCCTCATGCGCCTCGATGATCACGTCGAGGCCGGCAGAGTGGATAAGCTGGACGGCGGCGGGAGACTGCGCCAACTCTCCCTCCATCGTGACGATGAAGTCTAGGTTCCCGAAGTACACGTGCGCGCTCGAGACCCAACTAAAGCCATGACTAGCCATCCAAGGCCTGATGTGGACGTCGAGACGCGCAAAAATCCCCTACCTAGTGCGCCAACTGTCGGTGTTTCGGATCACCGGCTAGTAAATTTGTATCCACGCGTCATCCCCAGATGGTGTGCTTGGAGGACACAAGGATTTATACTGGTTCAGGTGGAATGTCCCTACGTCTAGTCTGCTGATGCTCGTGTTACCGACACTAGTTTGTAGTAGGGGTTATAAATGGGCAAGAGTGGGATAAGTTCCCAAGTCTCTGGTGAAAAGATCAAATGGAGTCAAGTCTTGCTGAGCTCGTTCAGCTGTGTGTTCATTTTGCCCTATCCTTTCTTCCCCTTGGGGCATCCTGCTTCCCCTTTTATAGGTGAAGGGGAAGGCGTAGGTTACAGAAGGAAAGAAGGAGAAAAGTGAGGGAGAACAAGGCCTCTAGGGCCACCGGGTCCTTCTTCTCCTTCATGCGATTCCCACGTGACGCTATAGATGGTGACGGGGATGGCTCCACATCGGTGTCCTATTCACCACTAGTGCCATGCCCTGACGTCATCAGCTGGTCGTGGCGTCCTATCCCATCCCGGCGGATGGCGTGGTGAACCGACGTGTTGGTCGGTGGCCGTACGAGGAGTAGGCAACACAGCGATCACGCACCCATCACTGTTAGCAATTTGAACCCCTAGGCATGGCCTGACATGGCCATGGGTCATGTCGAGACATTCCTGCTTCCGCCTGGTGATAGAAGTTTGACCCCGGGGTCGTACCTTCTGACCCGTACTGGTTGGAGGCGGTATGGGTTCCCATCGGGCGAGACGGAGCCCGTGCCCCAGGGATAGGGCGGGACGGAGCCTGTGCCCTCAGGGTCGGGCGACACGGCTCCTGTTCCCTCGAGGTCGGGCGACATGGGGCCCGTGCCGAGGGGTCGGGCGAGACGAAGCCCGTGCCCTCAGGGTCGGGCGGGACGGCTCCCGTACCCTCAGGGTCAGGTCACATGGGGCCCGATCCCTCAGGGTCGGGCGAGACAGAGACCATCCCTTTGGGGTTGGTCGAGTCTAAAATACGTCCTTGATTATCTAGGTGAGTCATCATCCACGGTCTTCGGATCCCTTCTTCAAGTATCCCTAATACTGATTCCTAACACGCACAAAATTACCATTATAGCATTTTAGCTGGAAGTATTCAGGGTATCAGATTTCCACCGAAGATAAACACAAACCTTATACTCCAAGTAGTATTTCGAACGTAGAGGTACAAGTGTAGAAGAACCGATGATTCCCGGCATTCCTTCCACTAAGTGTACAAGTGGCCCCGAGTACACTAGTGGAGGTCACCGACAACTCTGGTACTTCTCCACTCTTACTGTCTCACTCCCTACACTAGAACTAGGTAGAATCTAAGATAAGAGTGTGACTCTTCTTCTCTTCTTGCTACATTGTGCTCTCTTGTGTTATGTTTCTTCTTTGATGATGATGAGGAGGAGGGGAGAGGCCTCCTTTTATAGGTGGAGAGGAGGGGGGTTCCTTGGAAAATGCTTAATCCCCTCATAGAAAGCACCAAACCGACCTCCAAACCACCATCTAGGTGCACTGAACCTGGACGATACCCTGGGAACTGACATGGGTAAGGCGACATCTGCCAACACATAAAAGATGGGCCCAAGAAGCCCAGTGGTGGTGCGGCCGCACCCCAACTAGGCCCAAATGGCCCCATATTTGGTGGGATGCTTCCTTTGGGCCTTTAGGTGGGTCCTGCAAAGTTTTGTGCCATTTGGAGTTGATTTGATATGGGTTTTGGCCTTTTTTCTCCACCTGACTAGGCCCTAATTTGCCTAGTAAGTGGGCCTTCTTCCCTTGGGCTCATGTCGGGTGATGTTATGCCTTGTTCTTTATGTACTTTTGACACGTTTCTCGTGTTATCCCGACAAGTCCTCCTGCAATTGATGAATCACCAAAACTCGTGGAACTTTGTTAGTTATGAGCCCTATTTCTAAGTTTGGTGTTCATATGGATAGATTTTATATAAATGTTGGTGGTTAAAAGTGTGAGTTAAGGACTGCCAATAGAATACCAATGAAAAGAAGAACCAAGGAGAGATTGTGAAGAAGCAATGCACCTTTGACAGGCTCATGAGCAAGTATAAGCAACAAAAGGCTGATTCCTAGAATCGACCGTTTAAAAAAGAGAGTCTACTCTGCCCAAGCGAGAAGATGACAAGTCTAAGCAATTGACAGTAGTCCAACCAGCAGCTCCACTTCAGAGAGTTGCTCCTCGTGTATCTCACTCGGGTCCCTCGATTCCACCTCCTGTTACATCGCAATGGGGTCCCTATGGAGTTTGGGTGCCATATCCTTCGGCGGCGCCTATGCATCATCAACAAAGGTGGGGAGAGCCCGCTGATCATATTCTAAAACCTTCCATCTTTAGCCGATTGAACAATGGTCAATCGAGCTCTAGCGGTGCAGGTCAAGACCACTTGATCACCTCTAGGACTTTGACTCCACAAGAATCGGGAAAGGCACCAATAAAGCAAGTTGATGAGCCTAAGAAGGTTGAGGTTCCATCGTTTCCCCACCAAGAGCTAGGCCTCAATCAGTGATCACAATCGGCTCCATGGAAGCTCCCGTCACTAATCATCATGGGTGGATTGTGATTGAAAATCCTCTAGCACCTAAGCAAGATGAAACTCCTAAAGATGTTGCTGGAGTAAAGAAGAAGAAGAAGCACCGAGGGAGATTCCAAGTATAGGCAACCCATATGGTGTCCTCATGGATTGAATAAGACTCAACGGCACAAATTACAACGTGCTTGGCATAAGCAATAGAAGAGGCAGAAGCTTGCCAAGATGGAGGGTGAAATCTTCAATCCCGTGCACCCCGAAATCCCTCCGGGAGGTCAGATTTTGCTGCTGGACAGTTGGCTTAGCCAACTTCAAAGTCGGCTAAGACGACTCCTATCCTAGACTAGACGGCTAGGCCGACTCTTGAGTTGGCTAAGCCAACTGCCCCTGCTCTTGCCACCCTAGGTGCTCTAGAGTCGGCTAAGCCGACTCCCCTTGCTGTTGCTACTCTAGAAGACCCAGAGTCGGCTGAGCCAACTCCCACTGTACTGGGTGCCTCCGAGGTGTCCTCCGATGATTTCACTTCCACCATTGTTGCCTTTGTTGGCATGGAGGTCCCTGAGGTTCCCGATGAGGAGATAGTTGATTATGAGGCCACTCCAGAGAGGGTGGAGGTCAATGTGGTTTACATGTCCATCGATTACTACATTCTCGGAGATGATTCGGCGGCGTTGGAGTTTAACTTTGCAACAGAGAGTGCTATATTTGAAAAACCAGATGACTCCGTCAACCATCTCAAGCCTCTACATGTGAAGGGCCATATCAATGGCACTCTGGTTCATAATATGTTGGTGGACAGTGGGGCAATTGTAAACTTAATGCCATGTCCGCCTTACAAGAAGCTCGCTGGCACTAATGAGGAGCTGATCAAGACCAACAAGATGATCAGCAGTGTTGGAGGAGGCGCTCCTATTTCGGCCAGAGGAGTTGCTAACATGGAGCTCACCATTGGAAGCAAGACTTTGGCCACGGTGTTCTTCGTCGCCGACGTGCAAGGTAGCTATAACTTGATACTTGGGCATGATTGGATCCATGCCAATTGCTGTGTACCATCTAGCTTGCACCAATTTCTTATCCAATGGGTGGGAGATGCTATTGAGGTTGTGCATTCAGATTCATCGGCTGACGTTGCTACAGCCGATGCTCCTACACTCAGGGGCACGATGCTATTGCCTGCTTGTCTGGTAGAGATCTTTCTATCTATGAATTAATTAGTGTTACCAAACTAGGCTTTGTTCCTATATCTCTGAAGCTGATAGATAATCGGCTCAATATCATCGTGTAATCATTTATTGTAATGGATGCCAACGTTGAATGGTTAAAACATCATGTTGAACAGTAAATGCAATGCCTTGTCTATGGAAAGACAGTGCAGTTTCATTTTATTCTTAACTATGGAAACGTATATAATAAATGTAATGCCTTGTTTTTATCTCTCGGTTCATGTCAAGTGATTTTGAAGTTTGTTTTTCCTGACATTCTCTGGGGTACCATTAGTTTATCCAATGTCTTATCGTGTTAGCTAAAGAACTTTCAGTGTTAAGTGCTATGGAAACAGCTTTGACAAAGCACAATTAGCTAAGTACTTTAAATTTTGATATAATTAACTTTGAACTTAATGTGTCCCGTAGCGTTAGCACGAGCAATATACTAGTGTTTTTTTAGAAACTGGAAAACTTGTAGCCTCTACAGTCATGCCCACAGTCAAGTCTTACAACGTTGTTAGCTTATTTGCTGAAAACAATAAAAGGGGCAGAGCACACATAAATATAGAAGGAAAACATACGTAAAGTCTGTTATCTACTTTTGCAACACATAAATGAACATACATTAATCTATGCCTTAGAAAAGCATAAAACAACCCCGTCCATTCTTTTTCCATGTTTTGAACAAAGGTCCACACACATGACATGCAAAATGTACTACTCAAACAATCATCATGAAAGATATATCTGTAAGTATTCTGCAGAAATTTATAATTCTACTATTACCAGCGATTTACTATATTCAGCCACTCCAAGCATAATCACAGATACAAATCTCATGCTACAAATATGGGGCAGTTGTCCAATTGCTTGACTGGACTGTTCTTTCTCAATCAAGCATATGAGCTTCTTCTTACTTTTCGTAGTGCATCCCTCATTCACGCACTACTTCGATTCATGCAAAACGCCTCCAGTCACTGTTCTCCGCACGTACCCCTGGGCATTAACCGCCTCTCCTCCATCCCTCTCGATCGTCCCTAACCTCCGTCCTCCCACTTAACCCCCCGGCCCAAACCTCCACCATTATTGCTCCCGCCAATCAATGCCCCAGCGGCGATCTGCTTTGCTAAAAAGCTGCGGTTGTTAAGTTTCACCTGCAAAAAGGGAGGTCGGTCGGATCCATTCAACTCGTAACAGTACTCCGTCCTGCGCTGTCGTCGGCGTGGCGACCGATCCATCGACCTGCTTGCTCCTTTTAAGCCCGCGAGGCTCCGGGCGTTTCTTGCTCGTGGACACGGAGGAGCACGAGAGGTTCCATGATATGGCGGCGACGGCGCCGCGTGTCCTTCTCGCCAGCTGGTTCGCGGTGGCTGCCGTCACGGCGTTGGCGGCGGGCGTGGACGCGCTCGGGGTGAACTGGGGCACCATGTCCACGCGCGGGCTCCCGCCCAAGGTGATGGCGCGCCTGCTCACGGACAACGGCTTCCGGAAGGTGAAGATCTTCGACGCCGACGAGCGGACCATGAAGGCCCTCGCCGGGACGGGCATCGAGACCATGGTCGCCGTGCCCAACGACATGCTCGCCGCCGTCGCCGACTACGACCGGGCCCGGCAGTGGGTCAAGGACAACGTCACCAAGTACGCTTTCGACGGCGGCGTCAACATCAAGTGCGTAACTGCGTATATACACTCCCACCATTGATCATCCGTTTCTCTTCAGAGATGCTCGTGATCTGACCAACCTGCTAGGTTCGTGGCCGTCGGCAACGAGCCGTTCCTCAAGGCGTACAACGGCTCGTTCGACCACGTGACGGTCCCGGCGCTCAAGAACATCCAGCGCGCGCTGGACGAGGCCGGGCACGGGGCGGCGGTCAAGGCGACGGTCCCCGTGAACGCGGACGTGTACGACTCGCCGGCGAGCGACCCGGTGCCGTCGGCGGGGAGGTTCCGCGGCGACGTGGCGGGGCTCATGACAGACATGGTCCGCTTCCTCAACCGCAGCGGCGCGCCGCTCACCGTCAACATCTACCCGTTCCTCAGCCTGTACGGCAACGCCGACTTCCCGCTGGACTACGCCTTCTTCGACGGCGGCGGCGCGGCGAAGCCGGTGGTCGACGGCCGGGTCACCTACACCAACGTGTTCGATGCCAATTTCGACACGCTGGTGTCGGCGTTGAGGAGGGTCGGCTTCGGCCGCCTCCCGGTCATGATCGGCGAGGTCGGCTGGCCGACGGACGGCGACAGGCACGCCACGGCGGCGCTCGCGGAGCGCTTCTACGCGGGGCTCCTCAAGCGCCTCGCGGCGAGGCGAGGCACGCCGCTCCGGCCCGGCGCGCGCATCGAGGTGTACCTGTTCGGGCTCATCGACGAGGACGCCAAGAGCGTGGCGCCGGGCAACTTCGAGCGCCACTGGGGCATCTTCACCTTCGACGGGCGGCCAAAATTCCCGCTGGACCTGCGCGGCGACGGGCGGCCGACGATGCCCGTCCCGGCCAGAGGCGTCGAGTACCTGCCCCGGCGGTGGTGCGTGCTGAACCCCATCAGCGCCGGGGACGCCATGGACAGCCGGCTTGCGGACAACGTGGGGTACGCGTGCTCCCGCGCCGACTGCACGGCGCTAGGCTACGGCTGCAGCTGCGGCGCGCTGGACGCGCGCGGGAACGCGTCGTACGCGTTCAACGCCTACTACCAGGCGCAGGGGCAGGTGGAGTCGGCGTGCGACTTCCAGGGGCTCGCCGTCGTCGTCGACGAGGACGCGTCGCAGGGCGCCTGCAACTTCAGCGTGCAGCTCGTTGGGTCAGGGGCGCCGGTGGCCGCCGCGGTCACCACGGTGGCGGCCGTACTGGTGCCTCTGTTTCTTGTGTTGCTTTGAGCTGACGCGAGGTGTGGTGGCCTGAATCTGGATGATTGTAGATTTGTAGGTAAGGCGACGCCATTACAGTGTGTACTAGGTACTTTCATGTTTTGATTGACCATCACGTGGGACGAGTCATGAGTGTTAAGTTCGTAAGGGCTGTTTGGTCACCCCTCCTAAGTCACTTTTTAGTCATAAAATATCAAACACCCTGACTAAGGCCTTGTTTAAATCTAGATGGTCACATCGCATGTCGTATAGGATGTTTTGATACTAATAAAAAAACAAATTATAGAATCCGTGAGTAAATCACGAGACAAATTTATTAAGCCTAATTAAGTCATCATTAGCACAGGTGTTATTATAGCACCACATTGTCAAATCATAGACTAATTAGGCTTAAAAGATTCGTCTCGCAAAGTAGTCGCAATCTGTGTAATTAATTATTTTTTTAGTCTATATTTAATACTCCATGTATGTGTCAAAACATTTGATGGGATATAGTGTAAACTTTTAGGGAGGAACTAAACAAGGCTTAAAAGGAGTCACTGAAATTTAGTGGCTTAAGTCACCAAGGGGTAGCTAAAAGTGGTCTCAGGTAATTTTACTCTTTTTCTCTCTCATCTTCTTTTTACTTTTAGCCTATTTTTAGCATATGGATCAAACATAAGGTCACTAAACTTTAGAGAGTGACTAATGAAACCAAACAGACCTTAAGTCAGAAAAATCTAGCTAAGCATGTACCACGAGAAGTTATAAGGACACTAGCTGGCTACTGACTGAGTTGTGTACGTGTTTTCAAAAAGACTACTAAACGTGTCCATTAGCAACGAGATAAAAAAGCTATAAATATTTATAAGAAACGATGAGGAAAATGATACTCTCCTTGTTCACAGAAGAATACAATTCCTGCTTTTTTGAACAATCATAGTTTGAATTTTAACTGAATTTATAAAAAAAGTACTAATATTTTTTATACAAAATAAGTATCATTCGATTAGTTATAGAATATATTTTTATAATAAATTTTTTGAGATATAAATGCTAATAATATTTATTATTAACTTGGTCAAACTTGAGCAAATTTGACCATCTATGAATCTATAGTTGTATTCTTCTGTGGATGGAGAGAATACATATCTATTTTTCACATAGCAACCCTGGTCAGGATTGCAGCATTAATTTACACTATTAGAGAATAAACTAATCAAGATTTTAGTTTCCTGATTAGTTGGACTTATCGGCTGATCTAGGTTTTATGGCCTATATGTGACTGCTCTGCTCCATCAGCTGCACTTTGGGGTTGCAGTTTCACACCGGAGCCGATGGACTTTTTTTTGACATACAAGACTAAACCCAACTCTAAGTCTAGTATGCCCCTAGATAATGTTTGATGTACATGTACACTCCATCCATTCAAAAAAAACAATGCAATTCTCACTTCACGAGAGTCAAATAGTTTCAAGTTTGACCAAATCAATACAAAAAATTTCTAACATTTATGATATCAGATAAATATAAATTAGTTATAAAATATATTTTCATAGTAATAAAGCCATTCGAAGATATAATTGTTGATATTATGTTCTAAACGTGGTTACATTTAAGAAAGTTTGATTTATCCTAAACTTATAATTGCATTCTTTTTTGGGAAGGAGGGAGCATTAAGTATTTATGAGAGTTGATGTATTTTTTTAACAAATGGAATGATGTAAAATATTACAATTACAATTAATTTAGTCATGAAAATAAAAAGACACATTCTTTTATTAAAAATATCCAGACAATAGACCATCCTTACGTGCAATGTTTTGATGAGTAGCTTTTTTTTCAACGCCAAATTCTCTAAGTCACTTTTTATGTTTTGCTTGAAGTTCTGCAAAATAAACAAATACTTCCTCTATTTCAAATTAGAAGACGTTTTCATTTTGCTAGATACATTGCTTTTAATATGAATCTAGACGTACATAGCGTATATATCTAAGTGCATTGCAAAGCTATGAATCTAAAAAGGCAAAAACATTTTATAATTTGGAATGGAGGAGTATCCATGAGACAAAGAGGGAAAGAGACCAACAACAACACACCAGTCGTCGGATTTCCATAGCTGCGACAAATACCATAACAATTTTACATCTTACGTGGTTTGATTGAATATTAATTGAAACAGGTAGAGATTTTTTTTATATTAAAACAGGTAGAGAATTAAAAACAGGCTGACGTGAATATATAATATATAATTGAAAGCAACGTGGAATAAAACATCACAGTGAATAAAAATCTAGAAATGCACGCAACGGTGTCTCTGGACCTTCAATTGCGTACGTGGCACTGTTGGCCGGAATCGATGGGTCGAGAACGAGGTCCGTCGTCTGCACTTCTACTGGTATCCATGGCCTGAGTGTGACTGTAATAGAACCGTCTAATTTATAAGAGCATAATTATAATAATAACTCGCAAGCGGTCGTACTGTCATACTTGAGCCTATATAATCCAGTAATCCGTCGATTACCACAAAGGGTCTCGATTCAATCAATGTACAACCAAGATTGTTCATTATTCAACATACATGTCATATGTTACATAAAGTTCACAAATACAATTCCATATATCAGAGTACGATTAAAAGTTATTACAAACCAAGTTCAGGTAAAATAGTAGCGGAAACGATTAAAGTTTGAAACCAACTTCTCACATCATTGTTCAAATACTGTGCCAGCTCATGATCACAACCACAAAAATATAATAGAGGGATTAACGAGAGACACCTTACCCGGGGCCCTACTCCTCGTCCACAGTGGGACAGAAGCAGTTCTTACAGTAGCCAAGATAGACTGTACCATCTGCAAAAAGTGGGAAATAAACCTTGAGTATGAGAAGGTACTCAGCTAGACTTACTCGTCATAAACCAAAAATAAAGTGACTCCAAGGATCATGAAAGGCTTTATAAGTGAAGCTAGCTTGACAACATTTTTCATAAAAGCCACTAGTTGACTATACATTTTGTAATTCGATAACCAAATTGATTATAGCTATTCATCTCTAGATTAACAACTAACCGGTGCCAAACATATGGTATATCATTTAGTAGCATATAATAGTAACCATAGCCGGTGTAATATTTTCCATGTTTATCATAACCATCACATTTCATAGTTCAATTACTATGATGAAGGGGCTCCGCCAAGTTTCTTACTATCCGGAAGAGACGGCGATTCGAATCAATTGCAATCAGCTAGGTAGTTATTCCTAACATAAACCCAGATCTACCAACTACGATAGGCTTAGGCCACCTTTGGTACAACTTAGGTCCACATTTCACGGGTTCGATCAGCGCCACACAACCATGGACAACCAACTACCATGACGATCAGGACTACCCGCCCTTGGACTCACGTCTAGCTCCCCACACATCCTTACTATCATCCAGAGTGCGCACTTTGACAGAACGAGGCCATCTTGAGTTGAGCTACTTGGCTTCGCGATCGAAACGAGTTATCCGGCCAGCTAAGTGAGAGGCATGCATTCAAAATGACAAAAGGGCCTCCAACGATACGGTCCTTAATCGACACAGACGAAATTACATGAGTCAATCTACACATAGACTCCTCTTGGCCTCCAGTTACATTATCCTATGGTTTTTTCCACGATAGCAAATATAGCTAACCATGCTCCGGTATCAACCTATATCTCGCAGGTGATAGGAAATTACCCAACTTGTACCGATCTAAGCATGGTTAAGCATATATTCAATTCTGGACCTATACAAGGTTAAAGGTATATTTATATGGACAAGGTAGTTCTATGCATCAAGTGTTTTCAATTCAACTCTTATAACCTGATGCATCAAACATAAAATGACTCAAGTGATATTTTGTAAAACATAGGAGGCTTAAAATGCCCTAGGGCTTGCCTTTTAGAAAAGAAAGTGGGTCGGTGGTCAGGGCACTCGGAAGTTCATCAATGACTGGCTCATCTCCTTCGGGAGCTACGGTTTGGGATGTCCCTTGATTGTCCTCCGCCTCTTCTTCGAATTCCAGTAGGGTTACTCCTTATGGCGATCCTATATGCATGAGCACAAATAAAATATCATGGATGCATAGGTAATGACATGGATGATATGATATGATGAAATGCATAATCATAAGTGTTTTTAAAAGCAAGGTATTAGGGTGATAACAAGATTAACTTTTTTTACTGAGTTGGTGCATATCTCCTTTCTAGTAATTAAACAAACACCTATTTAAATATTTTCTAGGCTACAAGACAGTATCCACTTGTTTTGACCATAACTAGAGTTTTATACATCAAAATAATATGGTTGTGGATATTCTAAAAATCTTATGAAATTTTCTACAACTTTCTTTTAATCATCTTAATGTGATTCAATAGTTATTTAGGCCAAACAATTTAATCTTTCAGATCTGTCCAGAAAGTAAGCATTTCTGATAGTAGAATTCTAATAGCCATAATTCTTAAACCATAAGACCTATGACTATAAAAATTTAATATCAAGTATATAAGTAAGTTATCTATAACTTTGTTATTAACAAGTTTTACAAAAAAGATCAGAATCATCATAAAATCATCACCACAACAGAAACTATACATGCAGCCATCTAGTTGAATTATAAAGCAATAATTAACTAGTTGCCTATAAACAAATACTTCTAAGCCTCACTAACAGTATCAACAGATTATATGCATCATACACACCACAGAAAACATCGTGGTTAAGCCTAACTAATTTATTTATATTCATTTATTAATTTCCTTAGATAATAAGGTGATTTACAGAGTAAATATTTTGAATGTTCAATAAATTCCAAGACAATTACAGTAGGCTACACATGACCCTAATAGTCTACTATACAAATTTCATGTTAGTTGGATAAGTATAGCTACCTCTACAAAAATGACAAGTTACATATGCATATTTTAGCAAAAATAGTTTAGCACAGTGAAAAGTGTCAAGCAACAGATTTAATATTTTTTCTATTTTCCTCCTAGCATGCAAA